AGGAAGGAAATTCAGAAACGAAGATGATCTCCCCGGCTGTTCCCCCATACCATGAGCTCTGCTGTCCTTTCCCCATGTGGGGTCCTGGGGTGCGGGAAGGCAGGAAGCTGGGGGCAGGTGCCAGGACCCCTTGGACTTGAAGGGGCTTTGGTTTTAGGGGACCTGGCTGGGACCCAAGCTGGGTAGATGGGGTGTTGGTATATTTGGGAGGGAGCTCTGGGGGTTCCCCGCTGAAGGAGGGGGGAGCAGGTCCTGCCCTCTGAGTGGGCTCCCTTGTAGCCAGGAGGTGACTGGGGGCTGGGGAGGGAGCTCGGGGTGCAGGAGTTCCTTCCTCCCAGAGCCCTTCATCCTGTTGGATCAGCCTCCACCTTCCCGAGATCGGGCCGGGGGGGGGGGGTCAGGGAGCCGGGGAGGAGAACCCTAAAGCCGCACCAGCAGACATGTGAGGCACTGCTTGGAAAAGTCTGTTTTGGTATCTCTGGCAACAAGTCCTGCTGGTGTTTCTTTGGGTCTGTCTCCCTGCCTCATCCTGGGGGGGGCATCTCTGGGGTTCGTTCAGACCCCACACTCTTAAATGCTTAGGGGTGGTGGGGCGTGGGAGGGGCGTGTCAGCCTGGAAGTGGGACTTTCAAAAAGCGCCCAGCGGGCAGACACGGGGAAGGATGGCGGGGCCCTAGGGGCGGGACTGAGGGGGCGTCTTGGATGGCTCCCCCAACCGCCTCCAAAAAGAAAGTAGAAGTCAGGGGCTGAGAGAGAATTCAGTCCGAAGTAAAAAGTAGCCACTGTATAACCTGTATTATGAGAAAAAAAAAAACTCCAAAATCATATATTTATAGGTATGAATAATAGAGGCCTGGTGGGGCGCAAGCACCCCTGGGGCCGTGGGGGGAGGGGCCTGCGCCGTCCTGCGCGGTGGCCTCGTCCAGCCAAGTCCACCCGCCGCTGGAACTCTGCTTTCTCTGGGAACAGACGAGGCTCCGGAGCGGGGAGAGGGTGCGTGGGGCTGCGGCGAAGCTGTCTGCTGCTGGGGGTCTGCAGCGGCCCTTGGAGTCTCCTTTGGGGTTCTTGCGGGTCTGATTGTCTAGCTTGGGGGTGAGGGGCTCTGGGCTCAGAACTCAGCCAGAACCAGGGCACGGGGAGACAACTCCCCTCTCCCCAAACAGGGCCAGGTCTTCCTGCCCACGGACTCCTTTCCACCTAGGCTGGTCTATTTTGGGGGCCTCCCTACTCTTTCCACGGCAGGGGCTGGCCCCAGGGTCCGGCTCGGGAGCTCTGAGTGGGCGTGGCCGGCAGGCCCAGTCCCTTTGTGGGTGGACTACACTGGGGTGGGGCTTGAGATGTCAGCTTCATACACGTGGAAAAGAAAAACAAAGCCACACCCAGCGGCCCACCACCCGCAGCAGCCGTGGGGAAGGGCCAGTGCAGGGCATTTCCCTGTGCTCAGCCTGCTGGGAGGGGGTTCGGCCCTCGGGGGACCCTGCAGCTTTTCCAAGAAATGGGAACAAAAAACAGCCCCCGACAGGACACCGCACTGCCCAGAGGAACTAACTAACTGCCTACTGCACCAGCAGAGGTGCCGGGGCCTGGAAGGAGGCTGGGGAGGGTCCCGGCCAAGCCCTCAGGGAGGGGTCTCAGCAGGGTCCCGAGACCCACGACCTCTGCCTCCTGCTCCTCAGTCCTAGGGGCCAGGGGGAATAAAGCCCAGATTCAGTCATGTGAACCTGGACCTGGCCAAGGCGCCCCTGCGTCTGGGCCCCCTGCTGAGCTGCTGAGCATCTTTATGGTGGCTCCAGTCCCCACTGTGCCCAAGGGGGGTCCAGGCCTGCTCCCCGGGATCCTGCTTCCCCACAGGACTTGCTGGGGCTGGGGGGCCAGGCGGGTGGTGGGGGCAGAGGCCTGATGGGGGCGTCCCACCCTTGGGTCCTCCTCGCCCCAGCACCCTGTTAATCATCTGCTACTGTCTCAGCTTTGGTAGAGTAAAAGGCAAAGGAAATTGGAATTAAAAAAAAAAAAAAAAGGAAGGAAAGGAGGGAGGGAGGGAGGAGGGAACAAAAGATGAGAGAAATAAAATCCAGGAAAAGACAACAGCACACGGCCAGCCACTGGAGGGAGGGAGGCGGGACGGTGCCCCGCCAGGCCCTGCCCGGCGCCCGCAGGCCTCAGTGGCGAGCTAGAGCCACAGGTACACAGACAGGTAATTGCATATATCGGTTTGGTTCCCGTTGTTTGCTTCACACCGAGTACCCTCCACAGTCACGCTGGAAGACGTGGGCCTGGGCGTGGGCAAGGAAGGGCAGGAGGCACGCGCCAGCCAAGGCCGGTCTCCGGGTGGGGCAAAAGGGGTGCTTTGGCAAGAAGGGGGGTGCCTAGGGAAGAGAGGGGGCAGCAAACTGACCCTGAGCCGGGACGCCAGCCTCCGTGAGGGGGTGGGGTGTCTGGCTGTCGGCAGGCGGCCGCCCCGTGGGGGGGTGGCGGCGCCCGCCAGGGTGGGTGAGAGCGTGCGTGGCATCGGGGCGCTGCCTGGGGTCCAGGCACCAGAGAAGCCCTTGCCCGGGGCCAGGGTACGCCCCTGAGTCTGTCCCCTGCGGTGGGCAGGGGGTTCAGAAACCCCTCTGGAGCCCCGGCAGGGATGGGGCGAGGTGGGCAGAGCACCAGGGAGCCCCCGAGTGCAGCGGGAGGCGAAGGCAGAGCCGAGCGTGGGAGGGGCGGGGGCAACTCTTTTGTGGCTTGCTCTTTTTAGCGTGTGAGACTTCTTCTTTTTAATTTAAATTTTTTTCTTTTTTTACAAATAGAAATACATCCCTTTTTAATTTTTATTTTTTATTTCATGTCATTGTTTTGTCTTTTTTTTTAACTACACGAGCAATGCATGCAGCTACCTGTGTGCGTTGATATTGTTTAAAGGTAATACTTATTTTCTGAAGGCAAGGCACATCATGTGGTAGAAAATTTCGTGCAAATTAGGAAACATGGAATTTTTTAAAGTTTTTTTTTGTATCTTTTTTTTTTTTTTTTTTAAAGAGGAGGGTGTAGTGGTGGGGGCGGGGGCTGGGCTGTCGGGAAGGAGACAGAGCCAGGTATAATTTGCCATGCAGTATCAGCCGCCACGAGCTGACATCAGCAGCCAGGTCACAGGAACCCTCGACTAAGCACCATGCAACGTTAGGTAGCTGGGGGCTGCCGGGTGCCCCGCCCTCCCCCGCCTACCTGCACCCTAAGGTTCCCGGCTGAGAAGTTCCCGGGTGCCTCAAATGCATTACCCACACCTCCTGCCCGCCCGGAGAAAGAAAGGCCCAAGCTCTGGTTCCCGAAGGCCGGAGGGGCCCTGGGCACAGAAGAATCGGCCCCAGGAGGATTCTCCAACCTCTCGGGCTCGGAGGGCGAGGAGGGGGTGGATCTTGGGTCTTTCTCTAAGATTAAGTGGGCTCACCAAGCCCCTGGGGCTGGTTTGGGAGGAGAGTCCGGTTCTGGGGAGGTGGGAGGAGGCTGGTCAGGCCAAAGTACTGGGAGTGGGGGGGGCAGGCTGGGCGCAGACAGCGAGAGGCCCTGCCCAGGGCCATGGCTTCGGCCTGAGCCCCAGGGTGGGGTGGTGGTTGGGGGAGATAATCCCTAGCGCCAGGCATGAAGGGGCAGGTGGGGCTCGGGTGGACGGGCCCGGAGGGGTCCCTGTGTTGGGGTTCAGTGGCCCTAGAACAGCTAAAACCCCCTCCTGGGCCAGGTCCACCCAAGATGGCCACCTGGGGTGCGGGCAGGGATGGTGCCAGGGAGCCAGGGTGGTGGGGCACCGGCACCCCCAGCTTAGTGTTTTGGGAACGGCTCAACGGAAAACATTTAGCAGATGGGAGATCCCCTACGCAGCCCCCCAGTGCTGGCGCCAACCCGCCGGGGACCCCCGCCCCAGGCTCACGTGGCCTGCCCTCGGTCCGGCCTTCTCTCCTTGTAGGGCCCAGCTTGGAGGCACCTCCCTGGATGTGCCCCACTGCGGGGGGAGATGAAAGTGCAAACCGTGGTCCCCCTTTGGGCTGGGGGGCACCAGGGAGGGGGGTGTCGCTCCAGGATGTAAGGCACTGGCAGAGGAGGCGTGGGGGCCCACCAGCTTCCCCAGACCCCACCCCCGCGCCCCAGCACGGCAGGCCGCTTGGGAGATGCCCAGCTCTGCCCCTCGGAACCCCTTGGGGGGTCCCAACTCTCTAGCTCTGAGGGGGGCGTAGCAATGAGGGGAGGTGGCGGTTGCGAGGGGAGGGTGGAGGAAGTCCTCAGCAGGAGTCCCGGGGCAGAGGGGTGGGGGTGGGCGGTGGGAATCAGGCACTTAAACCACTCGCTCTCACCTCCCACCTCCGGCTCTCCCCTGCCCCCCTCCGCGACCTGGGGCCCCTGGCCCCCCCACCCCAGCCCCTTCCTCGGAAAGTGCATGTCTTACAGTGTGCAACGTGGATCCCTCCCCGGGGGGTGTGGAGCCAGGCCAGGAAGGGGTGCGGTGGGGGACGGCCTCCTATGCTGAGGGTGGGGCTGGGGTCAATTGCATAGAGACATCTCCTCCCAAACTGGGCAGCGGAGGGGCGAAAGACCAAGTCCGAGGGAGTGAGCAGTCTGTGGCGCCCCGGGGCGGGCAGGGCAGGACGCTCCGAGAAAGCCTCTGTGCCCCTGGCGCCGGGTCTCCCCACAGCCGCCTCTACTCCGGCCACTCCTGGCCACTCCCCTGCCCTCCGGTGGCCGCTGCTGCCCTTGCCGAGGGCGCCCGCCTCCCGGTTTGGCAAGTGGCAGGCGGCCTGCCAAGTCCCAGCGGAGGTGGCCGGGGCGCGGGCGGTGGCCGCTGGGTCCTGCCCCAGGCGGGCACCAGGCTGTGCTCACCTGGTCCGGGCAGAGGCGCCGAGGTCCCTTCCAGGGCGGCAGCGGAGAGATGAGCGTGGCTTAGGGAGTCGGCCGCCCCCGAGGGCGCAGGCGGAGTCTTTACCTTCCGTGGACTTGGTTGGGTGAGTTTATTCTTTTTCCCATTTGTCTTTTTTTTTTTCCGTTTTTTCCTCCTGTGTTCATGTGTCTGTGTTTTGTCTTTCGGCCGGGCTGGGAGTCGGTGGGATTTTCTTGCTCGCTCTAACTTTCCACCAAAAACGTGGGCCGGGGAGGGGGCAGGCTGCGCAGTCCCCCAGGATTCCCGGGATGAAGGAGAGGGCGTAGGCCAAATCTTTCTTATCCTAGATACCAGGACTGGGCGGTCCGATGGGGACACAGGGAGAGAGAAGGAGAGAGAGGTGGTGGTCAAGAGCTGTTGTGACCAGCCCGCGCCCTGCCGGCGTGGCGCTGGGCCCGTGGCGCCCTGGCAGGGCTGCCAGGTGACACACAGGCGCCGCGGTGAGGTCACTCTGCAGGAGTGAGTCCCACGCAGCTTGGGGATATACTGAAACATAACTTTAAAATATTTTCCAGGGCCCTCCCTGGTGGCGCAGCGGGTTAAAGCGCAGCACCGTGAAGCTAGCTGTGACCGCTTCAGCACGAGTTCGATGCCTGCCCAGGGAGTGACCCACAAGGCGCGGCAGACCTCTCCTGACCCGCCCGCTGCCCCCCTCAGCAGTGGACCTTGTCTACCTGCCTATTCTGCTCCCTACTCTGCTCTGGTGAACCCGCTCACCGCGCCTGCACCTCTGGCCTGTACCCCAGTTCTGTGTGCATAAATGAACAAATCTTTAAAAAGTAAAATATTTTTCATTTTTATAGAATTCCAGTTTCGCTGAGCATCCTGACGGTTACCTGCTGAACCAGCAACCTGACTTCTGAGCCTGCAACCCCCCTCCCCTGCACATGGAGTGCCAGCACTGTGGCTAAGGCTGTGGCTTACTGTTTCTTTGAAGATAAGCGTTTTCCCATTTAATGATCCTTCCAGAATCCCCTGGTGAAGGAGGGGTGGTGGCCCCCACTCCACTGGTGACAAACACTGGGGCTCAGAGAAGTCAAGTGACTCGCCCAAGGTCACCAGCATGGCTCATCAGTCCTCACTCTCTTCCCTTCTCTGGGGGTGATGCTGGACTGGCCTTTCCTTCCCGTGGGAATGCACACAACCTGGTCATTGTGGGGTCCGCCTAGGGACCCCCTTTCTGGCCCCACTGAGGTCCAAGGCATGCTGTCCCCCCAACTCCTACCATGAATCGAATGTTCCCCCCTCCAACCAGGCCGTGCCATCAAACTGGCGCCACCTCGGTTCCCAGCCCCTAACCTCCAGTCAAGTTCAAGTTCACGCAGGCCATTACCTCATGTCTGGTTTCCGCTGGCAACCAGACAGGCTCTGAGCTGACCTCCGCTGTAGTGACTGCCTTCCTCTCCCCTCCCCTCCCAGGCCCTTGGCCCTGGGGTCTGACCCTGGAACAAGGGCAGGGCACCCCCAAAATCCCTTCTGGGCTGAGGGGGCGACTGAGGCAGCGCAGGGCCAGGGTGAAGTCCAGGCTCTGGTGTCCCTCTGGCCTGGCTAGAGCCACCAGTGTGGGCTCTGGGCCTGTGGTTCCACCTCTCTGGCCCTAACCCTCACTTCACTCACCACTGAGTGACAAGAGGGGCAGGAAGCTGGTGTTGGCGAGGTGGGGGTGGGGGGTGGCGCAGAGCCCAAGGAGCCCCACTCCCGGGGCCAAAATGACGACGGCTTAGCTGGGGAGGGGTGCGGGGGGGGGCTGGTGGATGCTGATGGTGAAGGATGGGGGTGGGGCCAGGGGCATGGAGAAGTGAGTATGTGACACGGGTTCAGCTGGCATTAAAGGGGGGACTGAGGACGGGAGGGATACTGGTGGGCACGGGGCTCTCACGGGCAGGAGACAGTCGGAGAAGAGAAGCCTGAAAGTGGGGGTGGAGGGGGGCGGTGGGCGGAGACGGCAGAGGAAAGCAAGCCTGCGAGTGAGAAGGTGGAGGCCGGAGTGCTGACCTGGCCAGCGCGGACAGGGGTGGGGTGGGGTGGGGTGGGGTGTCTCTGCGTCCTACCAGCGGGTTGGGGTTTCAAGGCTTCCTGCAGGGATGAGGCTGACCCCACCTGGGGAGTGGGGTGCCCTCAATCCAGACTGGTGGGCCAGCCTGGGCAGTACCGATGGGCTTCTCCCACCTGACCCGCCCCCTCACCCAGGTCACCGGGGCTCCCCGGGGGCTCTCACTTCCTCCCTCATCCCCAACGCCAGTCCTACCAGCTCTTTCCAACTTCCGGACCTGACCTTGCTCCTCCCTCACTCGAAACCCTTGACCCTGGCTGCCATGGCCCCAGGTCAAAGCCCAGAACCTGCAGTGTCCTTCACATTCGATGTCTCTCTGGCCCCTTGTCACTGAGGCCCTGCCTGGCCGGCCTCCGCCACCTACCCGGTCGACTCCTCCCCCCCACCCCGCCCCCGGGCACGGCCCTGGATGGCCTCCTCGCCTGAGTGCCACAGTCGAAGTCTCCCACTTGCAGGGGCCCAGGCGGGCCAGCAGGCCAAGGGGAGCCAAAGCCAAGGCTTGCCTCAGCTTCGCTCTCGGGAGAGGGTGACCCGCGCTCGCCCCCTCCGCGGCTGGGTGGTAAAGCAGAGGCGAAGGAAGGCTGGGCAGGGCCCCCCTTCTTTATTAGCTTTGGTTTCTGATCTCCTGAGGAAGTGGGGCGGTCTGGCCCCTGAGCACTGTGGGTAGGGAGAGCTGGGCGCTCCGGGCCTCCCCGGCTCATCTGCTGGGTGAGCCTGGCCGAGCGGCTCCCCTGTGTGGGCCTGGAAGGCTCTGAAGAGCCTGTCTGGACCGAGCCGGTGCTCCAGGCCCTCCCAAGGCTCTCAGGAGGTGTCTGAGGCCCGAAGGGGACAGGCTCGGAGTGGGCAAGCAGAGCCCCGGTCGCCTGGGCCAGCACCCCTGGCAGAGGGCAGGGCACTGTGGCCCCCGCCACCTCCTGAGTGCCAGCAGCACCAGGGCAGCCTCCGACGCTTCCCCAGGGAGCCAGGCTGTGCTGGGCGGCTCCTCGGACCTGGTCAGAAGCTGGTTCTAGGCTTGGCCTGGGTCTCGACCTCCCCCTGGCCCCTTGCTCACGGACTCTGCTGCAGGGCTCCGCCGTGGCGGCCAGAGTGGAGTACAAATCCCTGCTCTGGGGATCGGGAGATCTGGAGAACCGGAGCTGGTTCCTCTGCAACGGGCCCTGGGGGGCTGGCAGCAGCTGCCACCATCCTGGCGGGGCACCCCACAAGCCCTGCCCCAACGCACCAGCCACCACCCTCGGGCACCGTCCGCCAGCACACTCCAGGCCTGGCACAGCAGGCTCGACCCTTGACCCGAGGCGCTGGGCAGCGCGGAGCGGGGTGACCCCTGGAGGGGGCTGGCAAGCCTGGAGCCTCAGTCTAGGCCCACGGAGACCCACCGCCACTTCTGTGTGGCCTCGGGCAACCGGACCTTCCTCTCTGAACCTTCCTGCCTGGTCCTCAGCCCTCCAGGCAGCCTCCAGCGTGGTATTGCCACCCGGCCGCTACCCTCTTCACCTCACAGCTAGAGCCTGGCGTGCAGGCTCCACGCCCTGCCACAGACGGCCTCAGTTTCCCCACCTGCCCCGGGCTGGCATCCTGGAGTCCTACGCCACAGTGCCTCTGGCCAGCAGCACGGGCGGGGGTGGAGGCTGGGGGTTGAAGGGTCAGGTTGATGTGCTGTGTGATCCTGGGCAAATCCCCTCATCTTTCTGGGTCTCAGTCTCCCCATCTGCACAGATGTGACGAGGCCCTGAAGCAGCTCTAGGGGAAACGTGGCGGCAGGGTTTGGGGCCGTATCGCAGCCTGTCCTGAGGGGCTAGGGGAAGTCAGGCTCTGCCTCGGGGGAAGCAGGGCAGGGCTCGAGGCCCCGAAAGGCCCCTGGAGGGGGTCACTGTGCCGGGCTGCAGCTGGGGCTGCGGCAAGAAGCCCAGCAGGCCGGCCTCTCCCTGCACACCCCAGGCTGGCCCTCTGCCCTGCCCCCCACCCCCCCGCCAGCTGGCCCGTCGGCCCCTACCTGTGCCTGATAAATGCCCGCTGGATCCCTTGGTCCTAATCCCACAAAGGAACGGTTTGCAGGGGACGTGCCGGGCGTAGAGTAGGCTGCGGGGAGGAGAGAGACCGAGAGCCCGTTAGCGAAGGGGCCACGCGGGAGCACCCAGAGAGAGTGGCCGCTTGCCCAGGGTCACACAGCACCCGGCGCCTCCGAGCTCGCTGCCCGTCCCTGGACGTGGCGGGCACCCCCCAAAAGCCCACAGTTTGCGGGGTGGGGGGTGGCCCGGGGTCATGCGGTGGGCTGTCTGCTGAGGGCAGGCAGAGGATGAACGACTCATCATTCCGAAACCACCTGTGAATTATTCAGGGTGTTCCACTGCCCGGTCCAGCCTGCGTCTGTGCCCCCGCGGCGCGTGAATTATTGAGGGCATTTTACTTATTAATTTTCCTCCCGGAGAGGCATGGGGAGTGTGTGTGCGTGTGTACACACTATATATTCGCACACTGGTGTTGGAACCTCGCGGATTGCATCCTGCTGGAGAGTGAATATTTCACAGCCTGGTGCTACGAGGGGCCAGGGGGGCCTCACACAGGCTGGGGCCGGGGCGGCAGAAGAGTCCCCTGGAGGTCTCGGCCCAGGGTGGGGCAGGTGGCATGGGGAGGGGGGCTGAGGGGTCAGGCTGGACCTACAGCTGGTGCAGGGTCGGGAGTCGAGCTTATCTTGCATCTGTTAAACACCTATCGTATGCCCGTACGCCCGGCACTGGGCATGATCCTACTTAACCCTCCACGGCCTCACCGCAGCCAACACGATTGTCACCCCGTTTCTCAGACGAGAAAGTGGAGCAGACGTGACCCACAGACGCTGCACTTCGTGTCCCCGACCTGTGTCACCAACTAGCTCCCACCGCGAGGGGACACTGTGGCTGCCCCACGTCTTGGCTGGGAGTGCTGAGGTTCAGAGAGGGGAGGAACTTGCCCAAGGTCACACAGGGAGTGAGCCGCAGAGGCAGGATTCGAGTTCTGTGTTCCACGCCTGGCTGGTGCCCAGAGAGAGCCTGTCTGCAGGAGGCACTGCCCCGGGTGTGGCTGGGCATCCAGGGTGGGGAGGGCACGAGGGGCCAGGTGAGGACGGCGGCGGGGTCGGGGCCCTGAGGAGGCCCCTCGTGCACGGGAGAGGGGAAGGCGTCGTGCTGGCACGGGGCGAAGGGAAGACTGAGACAGTAGGGAGAAGTCCGGGGGCTCCGAGGATCCTGTCCAGGGCCAACCCCCCAGGGCAGTTTGACTGCAACGAGGCCCTGGGTGTGGGGCAGTGAGAGGATGGTGGGTCGGTGGGCGCAGGTGGTGCAGCGAGGCTGTAGCAGGGCCCAGGGAGACTGGACACGGCGCCACCGTTAATGGGGCCCACCCAGAATGGGGGTCCCTGGGAGCCACTTGCAGCTGGGGTCCGTCCTGGGCCGGGGTGGAGGGTGCATAAGCAGGGTTGCAGGGGGCTGTAATCTAGAACTACACCCAGAGAGAAGGCCACAGCCCGGGGCCTGAAACCACGCACAGAGCAGAAAGTTCTAGAAGGTGAAGTGGCCAACCTAACGTCTTCTGGGGTTAGGCAAGGAGGGTAGGACTGTCCCTTCCCGTGCATCACCCGGCTGGGGTCACCAGAGGGTGGTACAGGACCCCGGTAGCTAGTTTCCCCAAGAACGCAGAACGCTGGAGTTTCCAGGTGAAACGCTCTATCTGGAAGGCACCACAGCTTCTCCTCTGCCACCAGTGGAAGGCATCGGTGCGGGTGGAGGGGGCAGGTCTAGGCCTCAGGCCGCCAGCTCGACCTCTCTGATGCCAGCTGCTCCTGGCACGGAGGCTCAGCGGCTGAGTGGGCACGCGGGGGAACCCAGACCAGTGAGGGCAGACCCCAGACTTACCCCAAGCTTGCTGCTCTGGCCTGCCATCCCCTAAGGCTGCCTGGGCCCTGAGTGGCCCTGATCTCATGGCCCCCCAGGCCAGTTCCCACAGGGCCAGGCCTGAGCCCGGGGCCCCAGCGCCGCTTCCGGAGGGCTCACAGGCCGAGCTCTGCGACGCGCTTCCTCCCTCGGAGGCGGGTTTGCTGGCAAAAGGGAGTGCCAGCCGGCAGCCCCGGGGGCGGGGGGACAGCATCTGGGCGGAAAGGCAGTGACTGGCCATTTTGAGCTGACCACTTCCATTTAACTGGGGGGACAGAGAGACAGGTGGTTAAGGCGGCGGGTGCCCTCTGCCTCGGCTGCCGCTCGTGTGGCCGGGACAGGTCTGGTGGGGCCGCCTGCTTGCGCCGGGCCTCCAGCACCCTCCTCGCCAAGCCGCTCGAACCCACTGGCTTTCCTTCCAGATGGTGCCGCCTCACCCTGAGCCTCACTCCGCCTACACACGTGTTTCTTCATCCGCAGCCAGCACGTCCTCATCCACCCCCTCGCCTGCGGTTCCGAAACCCTAAAAACCCTCTACACGCCCGAGCTGCAGCTACGGCATGTGATTTCGGGGAGCTGATGAAGCAGACGCCCAGTTCTAGCGAGGGAAATAACTGACTTCCCACTCAGTGCGGGTCCAAGCACTCGGGACACGGGGCTCCGGCCCCCCTGTTCGTGGACCTTTCAGAGCAGAGACTGCATCGTCTGGTGCAGGCCACGTGGGGCGCCAGGGCCCCGGGAGGTCAGCCGGGGCCCTGCAGGGCCCCGAGGGGCGGGCGGGGAGACCCATGCCCTCCAAACTCACCGGTCCAGGCTGCTGGCCGGCCGGGTCGCAGGCCAGTGAGACAAGATCCTTGAGTGGGTCCTGGGGGTTGAGGTGAGGCGGGTAGCGGATGGCCGTGTGCGGGAAGTAGGTGGATGCTGTCTGAGGCAGGATGGAAGTCGTGGGGAAGTGTAGTGCCGAGGATGGGTGGGGGCTCCGGGCGATCCCTGCGGGGTGGACGAGGGTGGTCAGGGGAGGCGGCCCTCCTCGGGCCTTCACCTGTGTCCAGGCGGCCGTGGGGGGTCAGGCTCATCTCGGCGTGTGCACAGTAATCGCCGCCGGCCCCGTCAGCCACTGGGGCCCGGGGTCACCCCTTTTGTTTTGTGAATGACACGTGGCCCCAGAAGTTGTGGACTGCACAGCAAGCAGGCGGCAGACACAGGAGTGTGCACAGGTCGTCTGGCCACAGCTCCGCCTGCACCCCGGCTCCGCCTGCACCCCGGCTCCACCAGCTCTCCCTGCAGGGGACTGGCCACAGCTCCGCCTGCACCCCGGTCCGCCTGCACCCCAGTCCCGCCAACTCTCCCTGCAGGGGTCTGGGCAGTGAGTATTTCTTTCTAGTTGAGATAAAATTTTCAGACCAAAAATTCGCCCTTTCAGTGGTTTTTTAGGGCATTCATGGAGTTGTGCAACCATCACCTCCATCTTCTAGAACATTTCCACCACCTCAGAATACAACCCCTTCCCATCGGCCGTCGGCCCCGCCCCGGCACCACGGGCCACTCGTGACCCTGGGGCCACGCCTGTTCTGGGCCTGTCTCGCTGGACTCACACACGGTGTGGCCTCTGCGACTGGCTGCTCTCCCGCACACTGCCTGTGGGTTCCTCGAGTGTGACATAAGGGCACAAGCGGCGGGGGGAGTTCCAGGCAGTGAAGCCATCGAGTAGGAAAGGGGAAACTGAGTCCCACCTCTCATGGGGCCAGTACCAGGCCTGGGCGCGTTCCACGCTGGCACCACGAGGCTTTTCCTGGCCCACGGGTGCAGCAATGGGACTGGTGGTCGGTGCATGGGTGGGGCAGGTCTGTGGCCCCACTGCCCCCCCGCCCCCCGCTCCGGCACTCACCGCTGTGCACGGCGATGACGGGCCGGTGGTGCTGGGTGAAGCCTGAGAGGCGTGGCGAGTCCTGGGGCGACGGGCTATTGAATGGCGACTTGTCCATCTCTGTTTTCTTCACTGGGGATGAGATGCCTGTGTAGGGAGCAGGCCAGAGGGTCACAGGCCTGCGGGTGGGGAGGTGCCACCCCAGGAGTCCTGGGCCTCTCTCCCTCCCCGTTTCTGCCTCTCAACCTCCCAGCAACCTGTGGGCTTGGGGCTGAAAGCCCATTTCACAGAGGCGCACACCAAGGCTCAGCACAGAGAAGGGGGCTCCCAGGGTCATGGGACCCCTGAGACGGGCAGCCAGTGCCAGCAAGGGCCCCTGGATGTCACTGCCCAGCCCCATCTCTCCTTCCCTAGACAGGTCAGTGCAGGTTGCCCTAACCACCGGGGGAGCCAGAGCTCTGGAGCTGGTGCCGGGGTGAACAGAGAGGAGTCTGGGCCCTGAGGAGCTCTGTGCTCGGCAGCCCCCTCGTCTGTACCCGGGGGAGGACTTTAGTCCTGGAGGATTAAGTGAGACGCGCGGGGGTGGGGGGGTGGGGGGAGATGTGCAGCCCAGGGGGTGACCGCTCATGGTCATCCCCTGCAGGCAGGGGCCTGACGCCCTCTCGAGGATGCTCTGGGGGGCTGACCACCCACGCAGCCCCCCCCACCTCCTGCACGCAGGAGGGAAAGAATGAACGAGAGTGGCATGCAATGGTGAGCAGATCCTCGGAGAGCCTGGCACGGGCTGAGCACGGGTCAGGGAGCAGCCGGCCCGCAGCCAGGGCAGGCTGGCCCTCGGGGACACGAGTGCCCCCCGCCTACGCCCCACTCTGTCACCCGCTGCTCTTCCTGGTGACCGCTCGGGTTGGCGGCATGCCTGAAGACACACAGGATCCTGTGCCCCTGAGCTAGAACTGCGGGGCGTGGTTATGTGTCCCTGGAACTGACAGGGGCGTTGTGCATACTGACTGGCGCTTCCTTCACCCCACTCAGCACGGGCCCCCGAGTGCAGGGCCTGCAGCCTCCAGCGCTGCTGGCCTCGGCTGGGCCTCCCCGGGCACTGTGGGGTGCGGTCAGTGTCCCTGGCCCCACCCACTCGATTCCAGGAGCAGCCCCGGTTGATGCCCTGGGAGTCACCCCGCACCCCCTGGGGTCAGGATTGCCCTGCTTAGAGCCACCTTCTCCCCTGGGGCACGCTGCACTGTCCCCGGGACTCCTGTGACGGCCGGAGACGGGCACGCGTGTGCCTCCAGCCCTGTCCACCCTCGGCGATGCTGCCTTCCTCCTGGAGTTCGCACTGGCGGGTCCCCACCCTCTCCCCCCGCACAGAGGGGGCTGAAGCAGATCTGGGAACCAGCGCCCTGATGGCCACTTGGGCAGCCCCCTGCTGCGGCCCTTACAAGCCCTGCTGCCCTGGGCAGCCCCCAGCACTGCTGTGTCGTGGGAGTGGGCACAGGCCGTGGACGTGGCCAGGAGCTCAGGCCAGGGACAGCATCCGCCTCAGTCAGAGGCCTGGCCTCCAGGGAACAGGAGGAGCTGTGGGACAGAGGCCAGACAGGAGGGGCCTGCCCAGCGCTGTGCCAGCCCAGCCTGAGGGCGGTGGGCTCGCCGCTGGTGCCTAGAACAGCCCGTCCAGGATGGAGATAGCCTGGAGCGGGCCCCACCCACGTCCACCGCAGCCCTTCAAGAGCTTCCTGAGCTGGGCCTGTGGCAGCTAGAGCGGGGCGGGGGAGGGGCCTGGCCTGGGCACCGCCCTGAGCAAGAGTAAACCTCCTGCCCTTGGGCAGGCTCTGAGAGCCCCCAGGTGGAACACAATTCAGAGGCCCCACGTCACCCTCACAACGGGCCCGCCTGGGGGTTGCAGAAGTCACCTGCTTTCGCAATGTGGGGACGGAGGCCTGATGCGGAAGTCACTTCGCAAGGTCCCAGAGCCACAGAGCTGAAACCCCAACCCATGTCCCCGCAAGGTGGGCGGAAAGGGAAGCATGGGGGGCAAGGGGGGCCGCCCACTTCACCCCCCCCAGCGGGCCTCTCCCTGGCTTGGGGGTAACCGGGGAGGCCTCGGGAGGGGCCAGGAGGAGAAAGGGCACTCTGGTCAGGGCTGGGCAGCCAGAGGCCTCAGCTGGCACCTGCAGCGGCATGGCCGGCATGGCCGGGGAGGGAGGCTGCTGGGGGCTGGGCTCAGCCAGCACTGGCTTCCCGGGGAGCCAGGGCCAGGAAGGGGCGGGTGCGCTAATCAGCTTAACACCCTTAATGAACAGCTAATTGGGGGCTGTCTAGACAGGAAGCTGGAGGAGCTGGAGGAGGAGGAAGGGGGAGAGGGGAAGGGAAGGAAGGAGGAGGGTGAGGAACACAGAGAGAGGCGGAGGGGGTTGCAGGGGCAGAGACAGGCGGTGAGGAGATCAGTGGGGGCCTCAGGGAAGCGCCCCCGGCTCTGCGTGCCCCAGGACCACCTGCTCGTGCTCTACCCCACGGATACCCTCCTGCCCTGCAAAGGAAGCTCTGCCAGGCCCTAGCATCAGGGCTATCTGGACTGGAAGAACTGGAAAGGGGGTCCCGGTGGGAGGGGCCCCCCACTGCTGGGGCATGCTGAGGCACTGCTTACTTCGGGCCTCTGCCCGTGCCAGGCTGCTGGTGGTGTCTGCTCTCAAGGCACAGCGACAGCGTCCGGGACATCCGTGGCTGTTACACTGGGGGTGCACCTGGCATCAAGTGGTGGGGCCAGG